TCGCAAGCTGTACCGCAACCTGTTTGCGTCCGAGAGCTTCCGACGATTCTTCAAGCACGTGCCCGTCATCGGCATCTACGACGACCACGAGGTGGTGAACAACTGGTCTGGGCGGGACGAGAACGACGAGCAGATCGCTGCGTATCCTGCGGCCAACACGGCGTGGAAGGAGTACATTGGCGATGTCAACCCAGAGCCTCTGGAGGAGGGCGAGAACTACTATACCTTCCAGTACGGCGAGTCGGCAGCGTTCTTTGTGCTCGACACGCGCCGCCACCGCACGCACCACACTGCGCACGACAACGCGGACAAGACCATGCTGGGCTACCGCCAGAAGCAGGAGCTGTACGCGTGGCTGGGCGCGGTCAACGAGACGGTGACGTTCAAGTTTGTGGTGAGCTCGGTGCCGTTCAACACGCTGTGGGGCGGCGAGCTGGATGTGGATGGGCAGAAGGACAGCTGGGCGGCGTACAACACGGAGCGCCTCGAGATCGCCGAGGTGCTGCGCTACGTGCCCAACGTGATTGTGCTCAGCGGCGACCGCCACGAGTTTGCGGCGGTGAGCGTACTGGACACCATCACCGAGTTCAGCACGAGCCCGCTCAGCATGTTCTACCTTCCCGTGCGCACGTTGTCGCAGGAGCACGGCGACGGCAAGACGGGCGTGGACAAGCTGCTCAAGTACCTGCCGGACGGCAACTACAAGTGGAGCGAGTTCGAGGTGGATGCGCGCGATCCGTACAAGCCCGTGGTGCGCGTGTCGGTGCAGATCGACGGCAAGGAGGAGTGGCGGACGACGTACGTGGGCAAGTCGCTGCGCAAGACACAGGGAGGCATCGGTGGCCTGGTTCGCAACCTGCTCGAGTCGCTCGGCTTCCGCTTCGACCTGTTCTACAAGACGACCTAGGCCGACCGAGCGGGTCGGATGTCCTACTGTATCTGTACCTAGCCCCGCATGTAATGCTCGACTGCTTCTGACCCTGGACGAGCGTCGACTGTCTGTCGATCTCACAGAACGATGAAAGTTGCGTGTTGCCCAGGACGCGAGCGAATACAAGCGCGAAATTCAAAGCCAGAGGACTGGAATTCAGATGGGCGCGCCGAGGCAGCGCCCGATTGGATTCAATCGTGCTCTTCGCGGCTGCTTTGGGGACGCGCCGCCCTGGGCAGACGTGCAGAGAGGGCACCCAAGCCAGGGCACCCAAGCCAGAGAGAGAGAGAGCGCGCTCAGCCTGGGCCAATTTCCAGCAAAGCCAGACGGAGACGTGTTGGAAGCACCCGAAGGAATCCATCATCACTCCCATCCACCTTCACCCTCACCCTTCGGTCACCATCCAACCTCATCGGTCTGCTCAATCGCACTCTCATCCGCATCTGACAATCGAACACGCCGACAGTCGTCATACCCATCCAGCCATCGATCGATCCGGCGACTCGTGTCTGCCTCTCGCGTCTGCCTCTCTCTCTCTCGTCTCTGGCTGGTCTCGGCCCAACGCGCCAACTTGCCTTCTTGTCGAGCGTGTAGGCCATGTCGACGCTCAACCTCACGGGTCACCCCGACCCAAAGCTCGGCTCTGACCCGCTGCTCCTCCAGGCACTCGAGTCGTACGTCGAGCCCATCAAGGCTGCCCTCGCTCAGAACAACATCGATGCAGCTGCCATCCCGTCCAAATCGGGCTCCCTCTCCACATCCGACCTCGCGACCCTCCTCTTTGACCTCCAGACTTTCCAGGAAGAGTCGCTCGGCCTCAACGCGCCCCGCCCCGCCGACCCATCCGCCTCGACTCCAAACACACGGCACCCCGTCCGCATCCCCGCAGAGCTCTTCCTTCCCACCGCCTCCCACCAGAGCACCGCCCTCGTCGATCCGCACACCAGCCCACTCAAGCTGCTCTTGCAAGAGTCGCTTGCATTCCTCGCCTCCAACGCAAAGCAGACGTGGAACTTCTCCGACCCAGCGCAGAAGCACGACAATGTCAAGCTCATCGCTCACCTCCGTCACCAGCTCTCCAACGCAGGCGTGCTCGAACATCCTACCGTCGCCGCGTCCCCCTCCATCACAGAGGCAGAGGCTGCATCGCTCCGACAGATGGCGGAGCAGCTCGAGTGCAAGTGGTCCGACGATGTCTCGGCAGCCACCCACGTCCTCTATCCATCCGAGGTCACGCCTCCCTCCTCTCCCAAGCAAGGCGAGGCCGCCAGCTCCACCACCTCGGAGGAATACTTCAGGACCATCGCATCCAGAGCAGGCCGCGCACTCATCCACGTCTGGTACCGCCCCGACTCCTACGACACCTGGCTCCCCGCCGCCGACTTTGCCGACCCAGACCCGGCGCCCGAGAAGCGTCTCCCCTGGAAGGTCGGCGCAAAGTGGCTGCGCGACAGCGNCCCCGCCGCCGACTTTGCCGACCCAGACCCGGCGCCCGAGAAGCGTCTCCCCTGGAAGGTCGGCGCAAAGTGGCTGCGCGACAGCGTGCGCTTCAACGAGCTCATGAATGCAGAGGACTACGAGCAGGAGGATGCGCTCGACACCGCTACCGCCTCGGCCGACGCCACTGCCACCACCGACACCGCCGCCGATGCCACCAAGAGCAAGAAGCGCGGCCTGCCCGACGAGATCACAGACGCCTCCTCGGCCGCCGCTGCCGCCGAGTCCGGCAGCAAACGCATCAAGCTCCTCGTAGCTGCGCGTCCCGTCGGCGCCGTCCCTATCGACCTCTCCGGCTCCCAGCCCATCAAGGGCAAAAAGTATGAGAATGAGCCCGTGCCCAGCGGTGTCCTCGGCAACCTCCCCTCGGAGTCTGCAGGCCCCACCAAGCTCGAGGGCGAGCAGCCTGCCGTCAGGCCAGCCAGCGACGCTGACGCCACCATGACCGATGGCACCGCCGCCGACAAGCCCAAGGATGCTGCTGTCGACGAGCCCACCGAGGCAACGGCCGATCCCAATGCGCCCGTCATCCAGCCCGATGCCGCGGCCATCGAGCAACAGCGCATCCGAGCCGAGGAGATCGCCAAAAAGTACCTCGCCTCGCAGACGCAGGAAGTCATCATCCCCTCGTACTCGACCTGGTTCGACATGTCCACCATCAACGCCATCGAGAAGCGCTCGCTGCCCGAATTCTTCAACAACAAGAATCGCAGCAAGACGCCCAGCATCTACAAGGACTACCGCGACTTTATGATCAACACCTACCGCCTCAACCCCAGCGAGTACCTCACCTTCACCGCGTGCCGAAGGAACCTCGCGGGCGACGTATGCGCCATCATGCGCGTACACGCCTTCCTCGAGCAGTGGGGCCTCATCAACTACCAGATCGACCCCGAGACGCGTCCCGCCACGCTCGGCCCTCCTTTCACGGGTCACTTCCGTGTGCTCGTCGACACCCCGCGTGGGTTGCAGCCCATGCACCCAGGCACACGCCTCAACCTGCCCACCTCTGCCACTGCCACCGCCGATGGCGCTGCGGCGGGCGCCGACAAGCCCGACATGAACCTCGAACTGCGCAAAACCATCTTCCAGTCCACCATGAAGGGGTCCAAGCCGGTGGATCTGGCCGAGGCCAACTCGCTGGCGGCGCAGGCCGACGCGGCCGTGCAGGGCGGCGCGGGCGGCGCACCGCGCTACACGTGCGACACGTGCGGCAGCGACTGCACGCGCGTGCGCTACCACAGCATCAAGGCCAAGAATTACTCGCTGTGCGCGTCGTGCTACCTCGAGGGCCGCTTCCCCAGCTCCATGTACTCGGGCGACTTTGTGCGCATGGAGGACTCGGTGCTCAAGCAGAGCGGCGGCGTCACGGGCGGCGCTGCGGGTGCGCAGGACGACTGGACGGATGCAGAGACGCTGCGCCTGCTCGAGGGACTCGAGATGTTTGACGACGACTGGTCGGCGGTGGCCAACCACGTCGGCACCAGGAGCCGCGAGCAGTGCATCACCAAGTTCATCCAGCTGCCCATCGAGGACGGCTTCCTCGACGGCGCGTCGCAGGCGGACCTCGGCCCGCTGCAGTATGCGCGCCGCGACGCGGTCGACAAGCTGGGCAAGCCCATCGTGCCGTTTGCGCAGGCAGACAATCCGGTGATGAGCGTCGTCGCGTTCCTCGCCAGCGCCGTCAACCCGGCCGTCGCAGCCGCTGCGGCTCAGAGCGCGCTCGGCGAGTTGACGGACAACCTGCGCAAGCGCGCTGGCCAGGCCAAGGCCGGCGATGCTGCCGAGGCCGACAAGGCTGCCGAGGCGGAGGACAAGGATAAGAGCGAGGGCGCTCGGGCCAATGGCGATGCTATGGACGTGGACGCCGAGCCCGAAACCACTGCTTCCACCGACGTCGCCGTGGTGGACTCTGGCAAGAAGAGCGCCGCTGCTGGTGGGGCAGGTGCTGTTCCTCGAAACGCCGTGGAGCGTGCGGCGGCGATCGCGCTGGGCGCGGCGGCGGCCAAGGCGCACGTGCTGGCGTCGTTCGAGGAGCGCGAGTGCCAGCGTCTGGTGGGCCAGCTGATCGAGGCGCAGCTCAAGAAGCTCGAGCTGAAAATGTCGCAGTTCGAACAGCTCGAGACGCTGCTCGAAGCCGAGAAGCGCAGTGTCGAGGCGGGCAGGAGGCAGCTGTACGCCGATCGGCTGGCGGTGCAGAAGCAGCTGGCGCTCGTCAACGAGCTGCTACACAAGGCTGCTACGGCGCCGGAGAAGGTGAGCCAGCAGGACCTCGTCAAGGCGTCGAGCGCCGCCAATGGTTTGCCCCAGCAAGGCCCCGTGGTGAGGGAGGCCAATGTGCAGCCTGGCGACGCTCCCACGGGCGCCAACGTCGCCCCGATCGGTTAAAACCGAGGGCCGAATGGTTTCGTGTATTCTTCCGGGTTTCGATGTTGTGAAATGAAAAGATCAAGTGCCAAACAAGATATGCGGGAAAGGCTCAGAAGGTCTGTGCTTCAAAGGAGGCAAGCATGTGGACGTGAGAGCAGCAGAAAACGGGGGCTTTGTATTGAAGTGGGACTGAAGCAGGGTTTTAGTGGTGGCTGTCGTCGTGGTCGCCGTGGTGGTGGTCGTGGCCATCCCAGGGGTGTTTCAAGCCCTGTCAATTCCAGCGGGCACAAAGGAGCGAATGTCAGTAAGGCGTGGTGCGGTGAGGACGATAAGGGTGCGTAGTAAAGGGGGAAGTATCGGCGACATTGGTTGCACCCCTCGTGGCTCGTGTCAACATCGAGCCGGTCCAGATTGCTTTGCATGGCAGATCAAGCAGTGGCATCTGCATGAACACTGTGGCAAGCGAAGAAGACCTGTGCTGTTTGCGTGCCTGCTTCTGCGTCCGCCTCGATGCATTCCAGACCGACTTTG